AATCCACGCACCTTTTAACCTATACACGCAGCTGCTACACCCATGAAGCAAGGGACGGAGGGCACACCTTTGGGCCTCTCTATTCCCTTCAACTACTCTTCTGGGCTACGTTCTCTTCCAACTCTCACAACCCCAGTTGGGTTACAAAACCCAACCGAAATTAAAAGCCTATTATTTATATTTCAAATCTCAACCATAATTATTATATTTTATTTTCTCAATGCATAATGGATGAAACTTAAATTTTGATATTAAATTTTAAATAAAAGTTAAATTCATAATTTTTCTAATTAATTATAATTACCTAGTTGAGAAGAACCTTCGTAAGTCATGAAGAATATAGAATCGAAATTACTAAATTGAACTGACTCTCATACTAAATATTGATATTTAATATTGTGGCGACTAAATATATAAATTGTGGGATAATGAATCAATTTTAATACTGTGAAACCATTTTATAACGAATTCAACTGATTGACTTTTGATATGAAAAGGGTCGAGGATGAAATATAATTTTGTTTGGGATTTAATTAATAAGGAAGAGAAAATAAAAGTACTATAATCAATGTTTAAATATTTAGTTGCATTATCTAAATTTGGGAAATTAGAGTGGGTGCATTGAATTCCATTTGTAAACATCCCACCATCCAACAAAATATATTATTATTATTTTATAAATCACAAATTCAAACATTAATATAACGATTACTTCTTCCAAATATATATATATATATATATATTATATTAGTCTCAAAATCAACTCAAATTAAATAAAAAAACTCATTTTAATAATTTATATATACGAAAAAAAACCGTACTAAGAGTGGTTTTTTAATGGAAGGAATATATAAAATAACAAATCGTCAACTGGACAATTACAATAATTCAAATGGGTGGAAGTGGACAATGTCATGATGTGAAGTTAGAGAGGCCTGAGACGAAGACTAGCCAAAGATAGGGAGGAGATTCCCTGTTTAGACCCAGAATGAGAAGAAACAAAGAACATGTTTTTTTTAGATTAATGAAGAATTTGGAGATGAAAAATGAAATAGTGGCATAAGTGAAAATATTTGGAGGGTAGTGGGCATCTGTATCTGAAAGCCATCGAATTGAGTACGGTTGGGGGAGAAGTTGGGATGTCTCATATTGGTGGGGGAGAATAACAACCACCATTTATAAAAGGTATGGAAACTTTACCGGGTTTTAAAATCTTGAGGAAGTCCGAGGGAAATCTAAAGAGGACAAAGTCTTGAGGGGAAGTCCGAAAGCAAAACCCAAAGAGAAAAATATGGGGTGGATCTGGTAGCTACTTGAATTGAATCATATAAACAAAGGTTGCACTGAATCGAAAGAGAATGAAGCATTAAGACAACAAATGTCAATTGATTTTCTTTGTTTATGCAAATTCAAATCTCAGTTTGCTCATATTCACAAACAACGCTGTTGGAATTGCAAATTTGTGTGTGTGTGTGTGTTACGTTCGTTTTTCATCTTCCACCACAATTTCAAAGAGTTCAATTTCATCGGACATCTCATCGTCCTCCCGATGATCGACAACAAGATTGTTGGTGGATTTGGGAGTAAGCCGACTAAACCACTGGGAATCGATCATTCCCATCGAGAAAAGCTCTCTGCTATCTTCGTACCCATTGCCATGGAAGCCCCCCGCCGCATTCACAAGCTGACTTACAAAGCATGGATTTGGCGTTCTTTGAGCTGTTATGTACTTGAACATGCTTTGCCCCAAATTTACCAAGACTGTTACGTCCGCGTTGGCCGCCAGAGTCGGATACAATGGGCTTCCGAATTCCTCCGACTTGCAATGGATCACGTGCACCAATTCCGAATCCACCGTGAAGAACACCTTCTTCTGTTTCGGATCAAACCCACATCCGATCACCTTCTCCGCCCTTCCCCACTCTTCTCTCTCTGATTCAAACACTAGTTTGATGCCTGAACCAAAACCAATCATACAATTAGAACTTCTACTTCATAATTGAAATCGAATGGAATTATCTTTTTTGGGAATTTACCATCGAGATAGACAGAGCCATTGGAGTTGAATCCGATGCTGCCGGAATAGCTGCCGGGAAGTTTAGAAGGGGCGGAGGTGCCGGAAGTGAGCCCAATGGATAGCATCACGTCTTCCACTGCTTCATCTTCCTCGCCTTTCCCATTGAGCTTCGATTCCTCGACGTTGCTTACTTTGTTATTAGATGTAAAATAAGCCAGAGACTCCGAGCTCGTCTTCGAGCAATGATTCTCGGGTATCAATTTGGTCCTCTCCCCTTCTTTCGCGGCTCCAGTGGGTTCATTTTCATCGCCGGAAATACTCAGAATAGTGATCTCAAAATACGCTTCTTGCGGGAAGGACGCCAGGGGAGGGCCCGGTAATGGCAGAGCAGTTCTGATTACAGAGGAAGCAGAGGGAAAAGAAGAGATTGTATTGGTAATGGTGTTGTTAAACCCAGAATTAAGCCTAATCTTCTGCATAAAATCGGCCGATCCTTGACTCACTTCCCAGCTAATCTCCGCCTCTGCTATCTCCTTCTCGATCTCTCCGGCCGTACACAAACCCAACAATCGGGATCTTGAAGTTGGAGAAGATAACGACATGTAGTCCGTAAAAGCGAATTGGGTCCATCCATTTTCGACGGCGTCGTTGACAAGCGAAGGGCTGTCGTCCCAACTGAACAAAGGCTTTGGAGAAACCCCACGAGGGTAAAAATTACTGAGTCGCCTTCTGCCCTCTGATTCAGATTGGTGATGAAGCGTCACAGTCCGAGAACCTGATTGCTGTTGAGAATTTTCTACACTCTGTAACGTCTCAACAGTTTCTGATTCTATAAGACGCCGCCGCCGCCGCCGCCACCACCAAAAGTACAATCCGATCAACAACAACGCAAGGACTGCAATGGACACGACAGCTGCAGCAACAGCTGAAGATCCGGCCATTTTCAAAACCTCAACGTTCCCCTGTTGGTGATTTTACATAGAATGGACAAAAGGAAGAAACTTTATGGAAGAAATTGGGTGAAGGGAGAACAGGGGAAGAAGTTAATATAAGAAACAAGGAAGAGGGGCGGCAGGAAAAGGAGCATGCGTGGACTAATGACTGTTTCCAAGCAAGAAGAAAGCAGGAATGGAAATAGACAGAGAGAGAGAGAGAGAGAGAGAGAAAGGCATTTAGTTAATAAAAATTAGCCGACAGAGTTTTGTGAAAGGAAATGGAATGTGCTGATTCATCTTGTTTGGGAAGCCTGGATGGACAGTGATTGATTAAATGGAATTGGAATGAGCACCTTCACAAACTAAACCTACGTGGTTCGAAATTCAAATGAAACCAATGTTTTTCTTTTTCGCTTTCCCCTATGTTTTGTGTTCTAGAGGGGACAGCCGGTGGGACTTTGGGCCACTCCGCCGTACACGGCGACTCTTAAAACCCGACTAAAAGAACACCTTTTGACAAGTTCAGTTATTAGATCTTACATCAACCAAAGAGGAAATATTCAAAAGGGTATAAAAATCTCTACTAACGGACGCGCTAGAAAAAAGCCAATGTCGGCGAATAAGAGTGGAAGAATCTTGAAGTGATCACGCAACATTGAGTTATTAAGAAAATGACAAAAAGTTAAGCTGAAAATCCACTTGGTGATGGAGACAGACTGAGGGAAAAGGACAGTGAGTTGCTATTTTAATTTGTTTAATGGGAAAGGAAAAAGCAGGATTATAAATTTATTAATAGCCGGCAATGACTCATGATCTGTTTCATCCACAAGTAATTAGTGGAGATCTTCAACCTCCCATAATCCTCTGCCTCTCCTGATTCAGTAAGTAATTCCAAGTTTTGTTAGATATGAAAGTAAATGATGCGTATTTTTTGATATGATTGAGGCGGTGGTGTTTTTAAGGAGTAGAGGGGGGGAGGGGTGTGTGGTTGTATAATTTCATCATAGCCTTGCAGCTCCATTATTACCGATAATACCAACTCTAACTCTGTGCAGACTTAAATCCTGATGCCCAATGGTTGAGAGAGGGAGCAACATTATTGTTTTGTGTTGATAATATGGCATCATAATCACACTCACCAACTTTTGTTTCAGAGTATGGAGCCATCATTTCTGGTCCCATTCTAAATTAACTCATCCAAATCCAAATCCAAATTCGAGATAACAGATGATGTAATGGGTTCAAAATGGCAGTGGAGTTTCTGGAAAGCTGAAAGGAGAAAGTAAGAGCCACACCAATTTGGACTGTGTCTGTGTTAGAGTAGGCAGATTGGGGTTGAGCAATGATTGTCCCATCCACCATCAGCTGCCCAGTTGTTAAGATGGGCGAAATTAAGGAACCCTAAATGTCCCAAGTTTTTTCTGTTGTTGGGGTTGTTTTTAGTGGAAGAAAAAAAAGGTTAGAAATTTATGAGATGGGATGCACGTTGTGATCCCGACACCAATCTTGGGTGACTCGCTGCATCTTGCCGCCACACATATATCATATATGCTTGCTTTCGCATAATATCTTTTAAGGAATCTCCTCCATCTTCGTCGTCCCCCCTTACCTTACCTGCCAATCTCCTTCCCTTTTCTAATCCTAATGGGAGTTAGCTTCATCGTTCTTGTACCGCTCAGTGTTTGATTCTGATATCATTTATAACAACCTAAGTCCATCTATTTTAAAATGCGTTTGTTACATTATTACATTATTTTTATTAACTAAAAGAGAAATTAACAAAAAGATATAATTAATTTTATTTTAATATGAGCACTACCATTTATTCCCATTAATTTTATTCCACGGTGGTTGTGTGTGTGTGTGTGGGAGAATCAAAGACACGTGTTGCTTTTAAATGATTGGGCCGGATCTGGATTGTCCGTGATCATGGGCCAGAGCTATTGGACTAGGGCCCACAATGATGACGCCCTATGGCTCCGTTAGGGCCCAAGAAAGACGCGCGAAGTTGCCCTTCGCTGAGACTGAGACGGTGAGTGAGGCGACGCGAGACCCCTTCTGCGTTGTGGATAAGCAATGAATAGCACAACTTTCGTCTGTAATCCTATGGACGCTCTGCCATTATTACCCTCCTCTCAGTTGCTGTTTCCGAATAACGCCATCAATTTCAGGCATAGGATCTCCATTCGTGTAAAACCCACTTCTCAGGGTTCGTGTAGATGGCGAATCCGAGCCACTGCCGAAAACGGAGCTTCATCGGCGTCGACCTCGCAGATCGACATGGTGAGGAACAGGGAGGGGGTTTTTACCGCCAAACAAAGCAAGGTTGTTGTGCTTTGGGATCTCGATAATAAGCCCCCTCGTGGGCCGCCATACGAGGCGGCTATGGCGCTGAAACGAGTGGCGCAACGCTTCGGCCAAGTGGTCGACATGTCGGCTTACGCCAATCGCCACGCTTTTATCCATTTGCCGCAATGGGTTGTTGAAGAACGCCGCGAGCGTCGGCAATTGGACATTCTTGAGCGCAAAGGGTTGTTCACGCCGTCCGAATCGTACGTCTGCGGGGTCTGCGGTCGCAAGTGCAAAACAAACCTAGACCTCAAGAAGCATTTCAAGCAACTTCATGAACGCGAGCGCCAGAAGAAATTGAACAGAATGAGGTCTCTCAAGGGCAAAAAGCGGCAGCGTTATAAGGAAAAGTTCGTATCTGGGAACCACAAGTACAATGAAGCAGCCAGGTCTCTGATTACTCCAAAAGTTGGGTATGGGCTGGCCTCAGAATTGAGACGTGCTGGGGTTTTTGTGAAAACAGTGGAGGATAAGCCACAGGCGGCTGATTGGGCTTTGAAGAGGCAGATGCAACACTCGATGAGTCGTGGTATTGATTGGATGTTTCTTGTTTCCGATGATTCGGATTTTTCAGAGATGTTAAGGAAGGCTAAGGAGGCTAATTTGGGAACTGTGGTGGTGGGAGATCGTGATAGAGCATTGGGTAGGCACGCAGATTTATGGGTCCCATGGATGGGGGTTGAAAATGGGGATGTTACAGAGGAGGATTTGGTGCCCAAAAGATGGAGGACGAGGAGAACCCAAGAGGATTTTGATGAAGACGATGGTTTTTCAGTTTCTCGTTATTATGGAGAGGCTGAAAGTGGTAGTGATTTGGAGAGTGTAGTGCAAGAGCTTGCTTCCGCCAGTACAGAGTTGAATGGCTTTAGAATTTCTGCTTTCTCAGAGGGGGAAGATGATGATGAATGGGTTGAAGACGAAGTGGCATCTGACTATCTGCTAGAGATGAGTGACGAGGAAGATGGGTATTTCTGATAATACATTTCATTTGTAAATTGTACAATTTTTCTAAAGTTCACTCATTTTAATGGTGAAGTTGATGCTGTCCTGGTTGCATCATCTGTTCATAATCCAGCGCCGCGCCCCAATCTTCCAATCCCAGCCGTGTGGCTACTTGGCATCCACACTTGAAGGTTCAAATTTTCCATTACCAACATTTACCTTGTTTCCAATATGTGTGTGTAATGTAAAATCGACGGAATGCTCTGTTTGTCCAAGATGATTTGATATGTTGTGAAACGATCTTCCATCTAATATAAAAATCATATGGGTGTTCCTGTTGAACTGGGGGCCGCTGCATATGCTCCAAATTTAGCTTTCTGTCATCTCTTTGGCACTTGCGTTGTGGTAGTGATGACTTTGTGTTGGACCTAATCCAGTTTTGACTAGAAGAGTTGCTCTTTCAATTTTCAACTGCTTTGGTTTGGCCTATAGAGGATAGATTTAATTAGCAAGGCAGATACAGATGTATTAGGGGAGCCGTCGCCATTTTGGCGAAAAAGAAAGGATTTATTTTTTCCTTCTTTTTTGTTTGTGGTGAAAGGGTTTAGATGTGGATGGATCTCGCCCATTTGTCAAACATCAGCATCATATATTTGGTGTTTACAATGGCGACAGAACAGAAGTATTGCTTAATGCTTACAGCAGCATAAGAATTGTTTTATTTCATGTGAAAGAAGAGAGAGAGAGAAGCAGTAGCTCCTGATTGGGGAAGAAGGGCAATCAAAGGTGGAAATTCAGAATGGCATTGAGTCTCATCTGTTTGAAATGCGAGTAATGATTGATAGTTATCCAAAATTTTGAAAGCGAGACTGGAAGAGGGAAGATTGACGAGAAAGAATGAGAATGGGGGAAGGGAAAGAAGTGGGGTCGTGTGCCGTCGGGGGTGTTGGTCCAAAAAGTCTGCCTCTTTTGGGAGCGTGGAGTGCGTCCAACGGCGCCATTTTATTGGATTCGGGAGAGAACTGTGAAGGGGGAAGTGGGTGGTGTCGGCATTGACAACTTGAAGAGATAGATGGAAGGGATTTGGAATTGGTATTGGCATTGGAAGCATCTAACCGGTAAAAGTCACCGTCGTCTATGTTTGGTCAAGAGGTCGAATGGTTAGGAGCCCTAATTGCCATCCGCCATCTATTTGGTTCTGGTGCCATCACATCTCCCCCCATTATTTTACTCCTACAACTTCCCTCCCTTTATCCAATTTTGTTACAAATCTCATTTGTGAAGGAGCGTAAAAATATCTCTTCAACAAATGCATTTTAAAACTATGAGATTGACGGCGATATGTAAAAGTTATAATATTTACCGGTAGTGGGCTTAGGCTGATATAAATGGTATCAGAGCTAGACATAGGAGGGCCAGGTTGTTATAAATGGTAGCAGAGCTACACATGAGATGATGTGCCAGCAATGACGTTAGGTGAACAACATTCCTTGTAAGGGTGTGCAATCCTCTCCATAGTAGATGCATTTTAAAATCGTGAGGCTGACGCGACTGATCAAAGCAAACAATATTCGCTAATGGTGAATTTTAAAATGTGCAATCCTCTATTCTCATTACCTATTGTCAAACAAGTGCTTCAACGTAATACGTGGTGGGTTAGGCACCCGAAAAATAATATTAACATTTCAGTACTAAAATTAATGACGCCCCCACTAAATAAACCCTTTATTTCTTTTAAATTTTTTATATCTCTACTACAGACCCTTTTCCCATTCTTCAAATTTATTCATTTTTTTACAACGTGCTTTAATTTAATGTTTGAATTTCAATCATTTTTTATTAAAAAAAAAAAAAAAAAAAAGACACATCACATCCTTTGAATTAAAATTAGGTATGGGAATCCAGGTCGGCTCTCGCACGCTCACAAACTGGTACGTGGATTTTTATTATGGGTAATCGTCTCCCAGCCGTTCGGTGAATGTTACTTCCCACCTTATGTTTATTATATTATATAAATTCCAATCATCTGCATATCCCCATATGCTTATAATATACATTATTATTACTTTTTTTAATTATTTGATTTCCACATTCCATATTTTGTAATTATTGTTATTATTATTATTAGGGCTTTATTTTGATGCAATCAAGTAAGAGTGAGTAATTAAGAGCACACACCCAAATAATAATAATAATAATAATAATAATAATAATAATGGTAATAATGATAAAGAAATAGATAAATATAAAGAAAGCGAGAAGAGAGATAAAGGGAAGTTTATGACCGGTGATAAAGTATGTCGGCCGAAGTTGGATTTGTCTTGAAGGAAGATCAACGTGGTGGCCGTGCCCAGTCGACACACAAGCAGCCAAGTAGGAAACAATTTCGGCCCTTCCTTTCATCCTCTCTCTCTCTCTCTCTATATATATATACACACCCCAATCCCAAACCCCCAAACCATGTCTTAACTACAGCGCCACCATCTTTTTTGGCTCGCTCCGGCTGCCCCTCTTTTTGTTTTCGTACACCCGATTCAGACCACAATCGGAACCGCAAGTCGCATACGATTATTAGAACAAAGTTATACAAAATCTCAATTTTTTGTCTGCCTGAGATGGACGGAGAAGTTTTCTCCGCCGTAGATTCATCACCGACGGCGACAGAGAAGAGGAAGCAAAGGCATCAGAATCAGCTTCAAAAAGAAAGGCCTTACAGAGGAATAAGGATGAGGAAGTGGGGGAAGTGGGTTGCCGAAATCAGAGAACCCAACAAGCGCTCCAGGATTTGGCTTGGTTCTTACACAACCCCCCTCGCCGCCGCTAGAGCTTACGACACCGCCGTCTTCTACCTACGAGGCCCTACTGCCCGCCTTAACTTCCCCGAATTGATGTTCGAGGAAGACCAGCTTCACGACATGTCGGCCGCCTCCATACGCAAACGAGCCACCGAAGTCGGCGCTAGGGTTGACGCTATCGAAATCTCCCTCCACGCCTCCAACTCAAACTCCAACTCCAACTCCAATTCCAGTACTCACACTTCCGAGAAGCCCGATTTAAACGAGTACCCAAGCCCCGAAAGCTCCGACCACGATTAATCCCTCATACCTTCATTTTAAATCGCTACCGGAAAACCAAAATTACGAAAAGGGCCAAAGCTTATTACAGGTAAGATCATCAAAAAAAAAAACTAACGGAATCAAAATAATTCCGTTTCATCCGTTGTAGTTCTGCGATTGTAACCGCCGCGTACACGGCTTATACAAATACTCCATCTCGGCTAATTTTGGATGTTTCTTTTACTATTATTATTATTTTCCCTTTGAATCGGTAGCAATCGTTTTGTTGCACTTCTAATATTTTTGGAGTGTTAAGGAGAGAACTTAGGAGCGGCGCCGCCGTTCGGACTTGTGGCTCCGATTACGCCCCTCCAGGTCGGGATAAGGATATAATCCCCCCCCCCCCCCAAAAAAAAAAAAAAAAAAAAAGGAGTTTGGAGGGAGGGAGGGGGGGACAACAACGGGTGCACATGACATGCTTGTGGACTCCACAACAAGGCACAATGAAAAGAGAAGCCCAATATTTATTTGAGAGCGAGAGAAAGTGATAGTGGCCCTCTCATATTGCCTTCAAAATCCTCACTTCCAGTTCAACCTTTAATGGACATCCGCCACCGCAAACCCCCGTCCTCCGCCACCGCAAACCCCCGTCCTCCGCCACCGCCGCCCGCCGCTCTTTGCCTCTTAATTTACCTTCCCTCGGTATGGTTGGCCAAATAATTAAGGCTGCTACTACTGCCGCCGTCGTCAATTTGTCGGTTTTAGTCCTCTCGTATTCAATGAAAAATCTTAATTATTTCATCACTAATATGATTCGCCCTTATTTATATATAATATATATATTTTGTAAACCCCCAATAAATTTCCTTAGACTTTTCCACCCTCTTCCTTTAAAATTCCTGCTGCGTATATGGGTGGAGCCTGAAACTCCATTAATATTCATATTATTATAACACACCGCTTTTCATGGATCTTGCACAATTTCTTCCCATAATTTCTTCATTTCCTTTCAGCCTTCCATGCACCACCCGTATCAGTATATACGCGACATTGCCCATAATCTTATTTATTTTCAACGAATTTATTAAAATTTTAAATTTTAGATTTATTATTTGAATAAAATAAAAACAAAATTCATGTTACATTTTAGTATTGAGCCACGTGGTGGAAGAGAATGTCGGTGGCGGTGGTGGGAGTAGTCAACAGCACCGTTAATCGACTGGTAACTTGAGGATTAGACGTTTCACAACTAATGAATGGAATCCAAAATTGAAATTTTGGAAAATTCCTCCTCCTTTATATTATGAATAAAAAAAGAATAGAGTCCACATGTAAATTATACATCCAGCTGTCAGCTTCATACCCCCGTGAGAGGGGTATCATTCAGCAACGTGTGAATCAGTTATTTGCCACGCCACTCCGTCCCCACCGCTTAAAATATTTTTCCTAATATATTCCACAAATTGAATAAATTCGTAATTCCACGCCCACTTCCTATTTTTTATAATGCTTTTGCGAATGAGACAAAAATGCGTAACATGATTTATACTCCCTACATATAAATTACATCAAAAATATTGGAAGCCCATAGTGGAGAAATGAACTCAAATCATCTTCTACTAAATGTTAATTCCTAATTTAGTATAATTCATAATATATTCACCCATTAATCTAAGAATCTATGTTAGATACTTTCTGGATATGATCATATAAGAATATAAAACCAAAAATCACACAATAATTGGAGGTAGTTGCTCGCACGCAATTGTATTTTTTCAAACCACAGCCGTACAAGAAATGAACGCCATTCATTCATTCATTCATTCATTCATTCATTCATTCATGCTAACCTCTTTCTTCAACTAAAATTTGAATTTTTACTATTTTGACAATTAAAAACCCTTCTTTTACCGTTTATTAAAGCCTCAACAACCGGCCCACCATAACTTGCACTCAAACTTAACTTCGGGCTCGAATGCCATTCGCATCTCAATCAATCTTAATAGGCCTGGGCTATCAAAATATACTCACACATGTCCACACACACACATATATACATTCGTCAAACCCACTTAACCTTTCCAAGGAAAAACTATGAAAGTTTATATTTTAAAAACAATTAGTTCATGAGATATATAATGTTGGTATTATATACGCATGGGGAACAAATAATTTAAATAGGACGCGTAACATTGCTGGCTTTCTCTCGAGTTTTTAAAACTCGTTATAAGTTTTCACCAATTTATAAGAAATGCTAAGTTTCACACTTGCATATCGCCCTCACACCGCCCGACAATACCATTTATAATACCCAAAGCTTATCGTTAATATATATTGTTGATAAGACGAGGAAATCAACTACAAGGGGGTAAGATTCGAATTACCTTGTTGATCGAATATCTCAAGCACTTGTTTGAGATTCGAATCGCTCCACAAGCAAGATCGATCATGTTTAGCTTGAATGATTATTGTTGATCAAATATCTCAACGCAAGAACACTTGATTGAGATTCGCATCACTCCAAGCAAGATTGAACTTGAATGATTTTACATGCAATCTAATCTACATAGAATTGCAAACAAACTTAGCCATTGGCTAAAGAAAAACGCAAATGTTTCGTTTACTATATTTTCCAATTCTACTTACAAATACGACTTTATATAGAAACTATAAAGGCATTTTCGGAGTTAACATTCATACTTTATGCCATTGGCCATTATTAATTGTAACTTTACTCTAAATTCTAACCCACCCAAAATTTATAACATGAAATGAAACATTTTTTTGATAATTTTAATAATCTTTTCTTCGCATCTTCGTTCAAGTATATTGTCTCTTCTTCTTCAGTTCATATCAATTGTATTATTTGAACTTTTATTGTGAGATCACATATTGGTGGAAAAAGTCTCTTAGTTCATGTCAATCGTACTATTTGAACTTTTACTGCGGGATCACATATGGGTTGAAGAAGAGAAGAAACCTTTTCCTCTTGTCCTTCTATTTCAGTTCATCCTCAACAATTTCTTACCTAATTTTACAGTCAACGCGTCCCATATACACGAAGCTTCAGAGCTGAAATAATTGAAAGTTTGGTAATTGGGGAGCTTAAATCTTTGTGAGATCTTCGTGTTTTTTTGCTCCCCACGCAAACCCATCTTTTTAAATACGCCGGTCGACGGGAACTGTTACCCGGAAAGAACATGACGGTCCTTCCACAATTTGGGGATATGAATCCAACTCTCCAGACCGTTCGCCTCATCTCAGACTGCTTTATCAAACCTCGCACCACTCCCGATGAATCAAAGCAGCCATATTACCTTAGCCCATGGGATCTTCTCATGCTCTCCGTCCAATACATCCAAAAAGGTCTTCTTTACTCCAAACCTTCCGCCGCCGTCGACGATGGCGGCCGTTTCATCAACGATCTGTTGAAAAAGCTCAAACATTCCCTGTCAATTGCCCTCGTTCATTTCTACCCACTCGCCGGACGACTCGCAACAATCCGATACGAAGACGAAGGTTCTTCCCTCGTTTATGTGGACTGCAACAACAGCCCCGGTGCCAGATTCATTCACGCTCGTCTCGACATGACCATTTCCGATATTCTTTCCCCAACCAACGTGCCGTTAATTGTCCAATCTTTCTTTGACCACGACAGAGCAGTCAACTACGAGGGCCACTCCCGGCCGTTGCTGTCTATCCAGGTCACGGAATTACTGGACGGCGTCTTCATCGGGTGTTCCATTAACCACAGCATCGTCGACGGATCTTCTTATTGGCATTTCTTCAACATGTGGTCTGAGATATTTCAAGCCGATGATGGCAATTTTTCAATTTCACGCCCACCGATCCTCCCGCGTTGGTTCCCCGAGACCCACGGTCCAATTCTAAAGCTCCCATTCACCGAGCCCGATCAATTTATCAGCAGATTCGAAGCACCCCAACTCAGGGAAAGAATATTCCATATTTCCCCTGAATCCTTGGCCATTCTCAAAGCCAGAGCAAACACAGAGCACAAAACCAACAAAATCTCCTCCTTCCAATCCCTATCCGCACTCGTCTGGCGAAGCATAACACGAGCCCGTGGCCTATCCCCGGATCAAACCACCGGGTGCAGATTGGCAACAAACAACAGATCGAGGCTAAATCCACCCTTACCCGAAAATTACTTCGGGAATTCGATTCAAGCCGTAAGAGCGGTTGCGACAGTAAAGGAGCTCCTGGAAAACAATCTCGGATGGGCGGCGTGGAAATTGCACGAGGCTGTAGTGAGCCACGACGACGAGAAGGTGCGAAATCACGTGAACAAGTGGCTGGAATCCCCGTTCGTGTATCAAATCGCCCAATTATTTGATCCATTGAGCGTGATGATGGGAAGCTCCCCTAGATTCAACAAGTACGGGAACGTGTTCGGAATGGGGAAGGCTTTGGCTCTCCGAAGTGGGTATGCGCATAAATTCGACGGGAAAGTATCTTGCTACCCAGGATCTGAAGGAGGCGGAAGCATAGATCTGGAGCTGTGCCTTCCACCCGATTTCATGAGTGCTCTTGAAGCCGATGAGGAATTCATGAATGCCTGCACTACTTTAACTCACTAGAACCCAAATGTAAGAAATTGGTTAGTTTTTGTGGGTTTTAGTCTCCCACGAGCCCAAATAAAGACTCCATTTTTAACGTTCTTGAATCATTGGACTCCCAACAGGTAAAATCTCGCATTCTTGCTTAATTAAAAAAATTCAAAGCATAAGAAGTAGGTGGATATCATATGATCTTAAACTTTTTTATTTTAATTTGATTAATCACTGAAACTCAAATCAAACTTGAGCAATGAAAAAGATAAAGACTTTGAATTGCCTTTTTTTCTTAGACATTAAGCCATTTAATTTAATTTGAAGTCAAAACTTAGACCATATGAATTTGGCTTTTAGACCAAGTCAATGCACCAAATTCAAAGATCCTAATCAAAAACGATTTTTTTTTTTTTTTTTTCTGCCTACTCCATGGATGAAGTTATCCGTTCCAACCACCACAAAGATAAAACTTTTTGGATATTTAAAAAAGAAAAATGGTGTTTTCAATATGATTCCTTTTGTTAGCTGTGCAGCAGCAGCTGTCTCCTCGTATTGCTGTCTTTCATGGTTTCACTTGACGACCTTAGAAATTTCTATATATATATATTTTTTATTATATTAATTTTCAATTAAAAAATTGTAAATATTAATTTTCATTCCACAAAATAAAATTAATTTTTGTAACAATGAAATACCAGGGAGGGAATTTACAATTTTACCATTTTGAAAGCAAACCACATCTCGAATTCCAGATGGAGTGCCAGAAAGTCTTTGTACACAGCCGTCACTAACCAATCAGATTCAGCTTACAGAAGGAGACAAATTAAGGCAGCTTAGGCATTCGATCGCCACGGTTGAATTACGACACGTGGTGTTAAATTGGAGATGGATATTTGCGATCACGGATCCAACGGCCCAAAAAAAACCGACGATGAATATAAGATCACCCAACCTTGCGTCGCCAGACGCAGGCATGTAAGAAAGCCTTCAGCTACAAGTTTCCGGTTTGGGCGCACATTACAAATACGAACCAAAAGAAAAACGCCTTGTTTTACGCTGCCGCGAAGGCATATTTATGGAAGTTCTTCAGCCTTTCCAACCGGCTTCTTCCTCCTCCTGTCTACCTCCCGGTTGTTGTTTTTCCCCCTCCGATGAGCAGATCCTCTGTTTCTACCTCCCCAACAAGACCACCGCATCCATTTCCCCCAATTCGCTCGCCAATGGCGTTTCCCCCGGCTATAACTTAATCAAAGACCTCGACCCCTTCGATTACGATCCTTTCGATTTGCCGGAGTCCGCGTGTTTTTCTTACGGTTCCAGGGGAAGAAAGAAGCACTGGTACTACTACTCAGTAAGTGTTTTTAGTGAGGAAAGAGGACGGATAAGAATGAAGAGCGGGTATTGGAGAAGAAAAAGGAGAGCGAGAGAGGTGATTATCCATCGAGGAGTTGTTCTCGGGATGAAGACCAGTTTTGTGTTCTATTGGGGGAATTCGATCGAGAACGCTGTGAAGACTAATTGGATCATGTACGAGTATGCCCTAGGCGATCATTTTAAGGTACTTCTGTCACTCAAATTCATCTTCTGTCTCAGCGTCAGCTTCCACTTTACCTACTATTTGATTTCAGCAATAAATTGAATTTACTGAGTTTCGTATGTTATCGGGGTAATTGTGGCTTTGATCCACAGGCTTCTTTTGTACTGCATCGGGTATTTGTAAGAGGTTGGGGACATGGCATTTCGGGTAATGGCTTAAGTGCTTATGGTGACGGAAGTGTCTCAGCAGTATGCCATAATGGCAATCAGCAAGATGGAATTCCAGTAACCAATGGCATCGCAGGACATGAAATGGGTTGTGCGGAGAAGCCAAATTGTGTGCTCGTTACAGATCCTGTTACCACTTTGCAAGTCCCATCAGAAGCTTACCCTTGCGGGATGGTAAGATTAATTTGTATTAGCTCTTATTCTATTTCATTTGGTTCCAAATGCTTCATTTTCTGGCATTACATTCTGTAATTTGTGTGTGCAGATGGCTCCCTCGCCTGTAACCCCTACTGGTTCAATCTCTATTCTGGACGGAGATTTTCTAGAAATAAACGATCTTGATGATCAGATGGATCCGGAAGATATCAGTGGATGAGTGTTAATTCTCAGGCTTATTCCTGCCTGACGTTAGATTTCAGATGGGGTACAAATTCTTCAGGAAAGAGACACTGCGTACTAGTGTTACTGAACCATCTCTTAAATGCGAAAGAAACTCTGTCTTGGAGTTAGCAAGATTGCACAGCACAAGGGAGGGGAGCAAATTACCGGTTGAGGTAATAGATTGCTTTTCTTTATGCTGTTTGCTTCAGTTTGTTCTTCTCCCCATGTTTCAGGGAATGAGTAGCTTTTCTTTTTGTTTTTTTGTTTGTTTCAGTGGATGTAAATTTGCAATTGGCTAAATGTTTGGCATTTTGTTCTGATAAACAAGGGGATGTTGATTTATTCACCCAAATTGGAAGAAGACATGAATGTTGGTGTAATTAATGCTATTCTGCATGAGCCATTGAATTGCAATTCTGCATAATCCATTTTTGCCAATTGTTGCTATTTGCTAATTGTAGGCCTTTCTGTAAATGTCTTCCACTCATTTTGTGATGATTAGTTTTCAAAATTGATCGATTCTGACCCCGTTTTTTTCCTGATTGGAAGGTGTTTTATATTTATGTTAAACTCTCTTAACATATAAAATCTCATGTTCTTGCACTGCTCCATATTTTCTTTTATCTTTCAAATACCAATTCAAAATGGGCAAAATTTTTTCTTCATCCCAAAAAAACATATTTCGGTTTCTTTTTTCAACTTGGAGAACAATTATTTCTCTTGGAATTGTTATTTTCATCCCCAAAAAAGTATATAGTAGGCTGAAGAGTAGATTGTGAGATCTCACATCGGTTGAGAGAAATGAGTACCAACAAGAATGCTGGACCTCGAATGGGATAAATTGGGAGATCCCACATCAGTTGAGATAAACGAGTATCAACAAGAACACTAGACTCAAAAGGAGGGTAAATTGTGAGACCTCCCATCGATTGGAGCCTTGGAGAAAGAAACAAAACATTTCTTGTAAGAGAGTGAAACCTTCCCAAGCCGACGCATTTTAAAAATCTTGATGGAAAGCTCAAAAGGAAAGCCCAAAAAGAATAATATATGCTAGGAGTAAGCTTAGGCTGTCGACTGCGTAGAACTAATTGCGTAACTCGAAATAAAATGAAATGAAAACCATCTAATTTAGTAATAATCACAAAAATACATAATCACCAAAGAGTAAGTGTATATATGAGTTAAGCGTATGTTTGGGTCGTGCAAAGTATACCTTTTACATATAAACTTCCATACCTATGAATTTAGAGGATTGACAGAGAGGGCAAAAGCTAAGCCTACTTTCGCAGTCCTTGCACAGGCAGAGATGCTTACAGGGCAACAAAAGCATGCACACTTCATTAACCCTGCAAGCTTTGCAGTACATCAAATCCTTTATATCATTGCTATTGCCGCGAAGCAGTTGAAAATCAAGCGACCGACCATTGCAGCACGATGCAGTGTCTTCCACCTCGCTATCCCCGCATCCTTCCTTGCTATCCCTGCTTTGAGCATACACCTGCTGAAGATTGAACTTGAGAGCTGTGATCATGTTCTCGTTATACCTAGCCCGCTGCTGCCAAGCACCAGCTTCCATTGACAGCTGCTCCATCCGCTGTTCGAGTTCGATGTTCTTCTTGTTAATACACTCCACCTCGGCCTCTTTTTCTCGTAGTTTCTTAATAATTCTTTCTTCCACAGTCGAGAGAGTTTGGAGTTGATTTGCTTGGATCTTCTCTAATATGGTATGTCGTAGCCTTTCACCCTATCAATAGAAAGAAGCTTAGAACATGCAGGTATTGGTTAAAATTCAGGACCGATACATAATTGAAACAGCTATGAAGCCATTCTTGATGCAAGGAACATCTCAAATAGTGTAAACTCCCTGATAATTTAGACCCAAATTCAAAAAGAACAAATAAAACCCTGATAAGACAACCACGAAAGATCGGTCCAATATGGTCAGAACAGCAAGTTATAAACTCCCATGTCTACCAAGTGGAAGGCTCAAACTATAAAGGCTGTCTATTTGAAGGAAAAATAAATCATACCCCTAAAGTTTCATAAGTGAATCAACTATAAAGACTGTCTATTTAACAAGTTATCCAATGTCATTAGTAGATAGAAAACCAAGCTCGAAATCGGGAGGAACCAACATTCTGCATAAGTTCAAAAGGAAAACATAACCAGAGTAAAGCACGCCCATACATAGACCAGACTTCACCATAGGCCAATTGCATGATGTTTTCTTTCATCAGAACAGCATGAAGATTACCAAGATATGTGTTTAATAAACGACTAGCTACTAATTGCGATGTTCTGCAGAACATAATTAAAGGCGACTACGTGATAGGATCAATAGTTTAAGAGTATGCTAATCCAGACCTGAACATGGAGGAATTTCTCAATATCTTCGTCCTGTCGCTGTAGTTCAAGATCAATGTCATCACCTATAAGAGAAACCAAAGGCGAGTCGCCTGTAGAAGCCATGCGGGTGTTGTCAAGCGATAAACCCAGTCCCGTGGAAACTGGGCGTGGCTGCAAGAAATCAATGGATGATATTTGGGAATTGTTCTCAAAAAGATCTTGCTCCTTCAACCTTTTCTTTTTGGGTTCAATGCCATGCATCCAGTGAAAATCCGCTACTCCATCACTGGCGTCCTGGCCAGGGGCTGTACCTGGTGCAAACCCGACCACATGAACCAGAATAACACACAATACATGCGGTAAAACACCTAAGACACAGCTCATTAGATGTTTGAACCAGTTTCACGTGCTTATTTTAGACCAACATTGAATTAGTAACTCTTAAGACTTTCCACAACATGAACAAAATAATCAACATTTTGGGCAGATAGCGTTTTTCTTGAAATGTTATAACAACAAACCATAAATAAAGATTACTGCTTTGAAACTGGGGAAACCCCAAATTTGCAGCAAAACTAAGAGGTGACAGAGATTAAGAAAGACACGGAATAAAAGAAAAGAAACGAAGAAAGTAAAAGAAAATTTACATGGAGGAACGTAAGGAGGATGCTGGGAATGCTCCTGCAAATTGAAGGGATTGAAATAGGAGATGGGTTGAGAAACATGACCATCGGCGGTGTACAAGTTTCTGCAGTTAGAAAGGAAATGCAAAATCAAAAGAATCGAAACGGTGTGTGGCTAGGGTTTCAAATAAAACAAAATCTCTGGTTTTACATTGTGAGGAACAAGAATTACCGAAAAGATATCGATTGGTGTTGCTGTTGGGATTGATAGTGCTGCTGGTAGTGATTCTGAGGCAGAGCCATGGAGCGATGAATTCCCAGACACAGCAACGGAGGAGGAGATGGAAGTAGATAGGCTGGACAAGACCAACACGCGACTGCTGTAAAATTTCTCAATGTTTCGTCAAATTGGGTGGGCACGCCTTCAACTCAGAGAAATTGTGTTCTGATCCTATCTGCGTCCAAGTGAATGCTAGGCCCAAAATAAAGGCCTGCTGTGCTAATGCCGGAAGGGAAAGCAAGCTAGGCCCATCTTGTCGACGGCTTCCATCGGCCCGAATTTTAACCTACCCAGCTCCCCTTCTTTTTTCAATAAGGTATCTCAAATCTCTGGCCTTTTAAGGAAGAGGGCAGCAAAGTGGAAGCTTTTTGCATATCAATCCCCCTGCCTTCGATCCAACCCCCCCTCTCTTATTCCTTCCTGTAAAGCTCTCTTCTTTTTGTGGGGTTTCTGCTGGGACTTCCCCTTCTTCCACTGTGTATCTACTTTGCTTTGCCTTCTCATTCGCCACTTCTTTCTTCTTTATTTTAAACCAATACATTCTTTTACACAGGTTCAAAGCTCCTTTTTCAAAACCCTATCTTCTTTGTTCTATCCTCCACCTATTCTTGAATGTCCCATGATATCCCACGAGTTATAAAACAGAGAAACAAACCAAAAAATCACCATTTACCCACCAAAGATCTTGGGTTTTGAAGTAGAATTCCTTTACTGGGTTAGCATCATTAGTCCCATCTAAACTTCCCCACCAAGATGCATGTTGCTACCGTAAATCACTGTATTCATCAGTATTACCGTTAGTTAGGTTGAGGGAAAATGATAGGGGGGTCGGTCATCCCACGAGATCACTTGGATTCAGCAGCTTAAGTTAACTGAGTGATGAAAGTGTAGTGTTACAAATATTGTCGTGTGTGAATCAAGTGGCAATTGAGCTTTATGTCTTTAAAAAAAGCGAGGGGATAATGGAAGAAAAAGATGATACAACTTGTAGTGGTATGCTTTTAACGACCACAACAAAGTGGGTTAAAAATCACTCTGTTTTAAAGTGTAGAAGTCCCCAAATAGATATTTTTAGTCTTTAGCTTGCATTTATGGTAACAGGAAACTCCTTTTGCCACTTTAGATATCAGTGAAACAAGCATGATAGCCTTGGAGTTGGTGAAGCCGCCTTCTTTTCTTTTTCTAAAACGTCTCTTTTTTCAAGGGGGGATTTCAACGTTTGCACGGAAAACGAATCCTTCCAAGATCATCATCTCATGCTAAAACGCGCCTCTACCATGGAGAGGGGTTTAGCTCTATTCTAACCAATACTTCGCATTATTTGGTGACTAACTCTCGAACAATGTACAGTCGAAGCTCATAGCTAGCAGATATGGTAAGATCTCAGCCTCTTTCTAGTAGACATGTTTTAAAACTATGGAGCTGACAGCGATACATAATGGGCAAAAATGGATAATATCTGCTAGCAATGGGCTTGGGTTATCACAAATGGCATCAAAGCTAGATATCAGGCAGTGTGCTAGTGAGAACGCTGACTCCCAAGGGAGGTGGATTGTGAGACCCCACATCGATTGAAGAGGGGATATAGAAACCTCTTCGTAGCAACCTGATGACGATACAATATTTGCTAGCAGTAGATTTGAACGGTTACTGAGACTTGAGGCGTGAGATGATTAGGTTAGAGGCATTGGTGAGTTGTGTAATCATATATAGGCAAAAAAAAGAAAGTTAGCACATGAGGGTGTCAGTAAAAAAACATACAAGTTGATTGAGAGAGGGAAAAGATAAGATGGGATTTGCAGCATAAGTGAGGCAGCATGCAGCTTATTTCCACACTGTGATGCTGAGTGAGTCAGACAAAACAGGTTGCCAACGCAAAGACAGAAGCAACTAAACAACAACCTTGTTGTTTTGGCTTCTTCTTTGAGGTTTGATTCCCCTGCCTTTCCAAACAACCCTAAGTGAGTGTTTATATCATAACCCAGTACCAGTACTTCTACTGTACTGCAACAACACTATTCAATTGAAGCCCACAAACAAGGACCTTCCAACATTCAATAAAAAAGCAATCAAACAAGTTCTTGGAGACTGGAAGTCACCCATGTCTCTGCCATCCGTGGCTTGAGCTTATGTCTCCGGCGTCCTAGCTTTGCGGGCATTAAATCTGCATGAACCACTACTCCAAATCCAGTGAAAACAAATATGGAAATCGGGTTGATCCGGGTCTTGTGATCCGACAAATGAGTGTGAATCAGATTCAAAAGGTTGAAATGTGCATATTCCATGTTGTTCATGGACTTTTTTCGATGTTCTTCGAAAGGACAATTTAGAGGTCTAGATTTGAAATGAGTCTTGGAATTGGAGGAAGCTGCTTTTTTATTTTATCTTTTTAAGGGGAATCTAGCTTTTGCATGGAAAATCAAATGGGTTCATTATTGTAAGATATAATATCGAAGGAATAGGGATAGAGATAGGGATAGGGATAGGGGATTTAGAGCATAAATGTGTGTGGTGGGGAAAATGAGACAAAATTGGGTAATAAATAAATAAAATTTCAATTGGTTGGGGAATTCAAAATTTTAAATTTTTACCCGTATTCCCTCTGGGCTATAGGCTGTCTCTGCTCCAAACTGTAACATATATTATAATAAGTACACTATAGTAAAATACTGAATAAAGAATATGATTGAAACAACAATGATAGTGTGTTTCTGTTACATACCCATCATATGATCTTCATCATCTTCCATGCTTGATTCCGATCTTTCTTTCTCTGCTCCTTGATATAAAATAGGAAGAAACCAACAAAACAACAAGAATCACGAGCATACCTCTTTACAAAACACCTCCTTTCATATAGCCCTGTTCTTATATATTATAATTGTTAGGAACAGGTGTTGGCTTTGTCCGTGTCAGCCGCTCTGCACGCACTCCGGAGATATCAGTGACACAGTGGAACACATAAATATGGAGTATTACCAACACAACGAGACGCCCAAACCCAACGCCAAACAGCTGCTTTACGATAATCAATGGAGAATGTTTGCCCTTTCATCAATATTAAAACTATAAACTTATTGCATATGGGATCCTTAAACCAAAATGTGTACATGATATTATGACTTAAACCCACTCATTGCAAAAGGGTTTTGATGCAATATTGAATGAGTATGTGTATATCCTTTTTGGAAATTCAATCCATCATCATCATATGTGCTACAAAATTCAAAGTATAAAGAGAAAAGGAGAGATGATTGTTACTTATAATGGAGAGAGAGAGAGAGAGAGAGAGAGGGAGAGAGATTCTTATTTCTTGGGAGACTACAAAGAAAATGAAAGCTGTAAAAAACAAAAGACAGGGAAAAGTAAAGAGAAAGAGTTGTATTTATGGCAACTTTTGAGGCCAATAATTCAATCACCTGGACATGTCATTAAAGAGAAAGAAAGTGAGTTAGCTAGGCGATGGAATAGAGCCAAACTCGGAGGCTGAAAGGGTAATGCAGCAGCAGAACAGCCACAGCAGCAGCCATTATGATAAAGCTCCGTTGTAACTTGTAATGTAGTGGTAGAAAGAGAGAGAGTATTGAAGTTTGGAATATAGAAGAACAGAGAAGAAGAAGAAGAAGAAGAAGAAATGAGATGAGGAACAACGCAGGCTTTAAGTCCCATCACGTACTTCGATGTATGCTTTACCTTATATTCTGGTCTGCCACACAGAGAGAGAGAGAGAGCGGTTGGTGCTCTTATACATGAAACAACAAAGGCTAACTTACAAACCCCTCTCTCCTCTTCCTCGGGAAAACATCACCTTTTCACAACTTCCCTTCCCTTCCCTTCTCTTCGCCATTTCATTTATGCATCTCCGTTTGAGGAAAAGACAGGGTTTTAGCTTGCTTGGTTGTCTGCATTGATTATGAACCAAAACCCAACAAACACTCCTCCTATACATACATACATACATACATCACCTTTCTCATCTCATCAAACATTCCTTCTCTTTTTACTTTTAACCCACCCCAATCTTCAAAAGGGCTAGAAAATGAAATGGTAAAAAACACAAAACTGAAGAGATTTGACCACTACAATCACCTCTTCTTCTTGTGTTGATTTTTAAGTCAGTACAGAGATTAAAAAGAAAAAAACAGAATGGATATGTCACGGGTTCGTCTTGAAAACGCCCTTTTCCCACACTCCTATACACACAGACACATATTCTCCTCTCTCTCGTAATATAAAACCCACAAACTAACTGCACCACACGACACGCTACCTTTCCTCTCTCTCTCTCTCTCTCTCTCTCTCTCTCTCTCTCTGTGAACACAATGGCTCTAATGGTTGATAATTGCGAAGGAGTTTTGGTGTCCTTGGAGTCCCATAAGCCAATCCCAGCTCCCTTTCTCACTAAAACATACCAGCTCGTCGACGATCCCTCCACTGACCATATTGTCTCATGGGGCGAAGATGATACCACGTTCGTTGTTTGGCGTCCTCCTGAATTTGCTAGAGATCTCCTTCCTAATTATTTCAAGCACAACAATTTCTCTAGCTTTGTCCGCCAGCTCAACACCTATGTAAGAATATCATCAATCAAGAATTCAAACATTCTCTCTGTTTCTTTCAATCAGCTTATTTTTCTTGTTCTGCTTTTAGGGGTTCAGAAAAATTGTGCCGGACAGATGGGAATTTGCGAACGACTTCTTCAGAAAAGGAGATAAACATTTGTTATGTGAAATCCATAGACGGAAAACCGCTCAGCCACAACACCAACAATCTCTTTCTCCACTTGCTCTCAACAATCCAGGGTTTTACCACTTCCATGCCCGACCCAGCATCTCGCCCTCCGACTCTGACGACCAAAATAATTGGTGCGACTCGCCGCCGCTCTCCTCCTCTGGCACTAACAACAACAACAACTCTGTCTCCGCCCTGTCGGAGGACAACGAGCGGCTTCGGCGAAGCAATAACATGCTGATGTCGGAATTAGCCCACATGAAAAAACTCTACAACGACATCATCTATTTCGTTCAAAACCACGTGAAGCCCGTCGCCCCAAGTAATTCATATCAATACTCAACCTTTCCAGTGGTGCAACGGCAGCCGAACCACCATCTTGTCGGGTACAATAATCCGACAAATGCGAAACAAGTTTCGGGTCAGACCCATTTGGTGACTGCAACTCCAAATAATAATAATAACAACAACAAAAGCTTCGTGAGGATTGTAGAAGAACAACAAAAAACGAAGCTTTTT